TGACAGCATTCTTATATGTAGGCTCGAATCTCAAATAGTAAACAATAACTTTAATTGGCAGTTTAAAAATGTTTTACTAATTGGGCTACTGATGGTTTTTTGTTGGGAATAACAGTTTTCTAAATTTTAACAAGCCGTTTTATGCCCTTAATAATTGGCCATGCCGTGAGTCTTGTGACAATATGATGCTGATCCGAAATAAGCAATAGTGCTCTGGTCCGTATCAAGTATTTTTCTTCAACATTTTATAGTAAAAGCGATGTCGAATATTACGTACTGACTGCGTCCGTTGCAACTTCATTAAGTTGCAGATAAGATAAGCTCAATTTTGGGACTATATGCTGAATTAAAGGGTTGGCAACGCTAGCTACGACAAAACATTTCATGGCTTAAAAATAGTTTGGAAGGGATTACACTTACTGAGCTCACTCACACTGTTTTTGACTTTTCGGCCTTCTCAGTCACGTAAAAGAAATTTGTATATACAACAGAATATAGCAGAACATTCGTTGAAAATGACTAAGCGTGCAAATATTGGATTATTTCCTCATGGTTTTGCATTGCACGGAAATACAGGCAACATTGAATGAGTTTCTAGAAATGAATTCAGGTGTGTCGATATCGAATGGCCTTTCAAAATTTTAAAAACAGTCACCTCAAACTCGATGCCATCAGTAGCTTAATTAGTAGCACATTTTTAAGCTACTAATTATGGTTATTGATTACCAATTGAGATTCCAGCCCACATTTTCGAATGCCGTCAATCATGTTTTGTCGACGTACGATTGAATCATCTCATTGGCATACTCGACCAGTATAACACATGGAAGTTGGTCGCGAGATGATAGAGTTCATTTTGACAATCGAGTCGTGATTGTAGCGCCGTTAGGTTAGGTACTGAGTAGTATAGCGTCGTGGGTCGAAGATAAGTAAGTTAAGGGAGGTCGGACAGTGGGTCGAGGGTGGGAAATTTGAGGCAGATAGTGCAGTGGATAGAGGAAAGAAAAGTTGAGGGAGATAGGGCGGTGGGTCGAGGTTGAAGGAGGTGGAGCAGTTGGCCGGGGCGAGGGAGAAAGGGCAGAGGATCGAGAATAGGAAAGTGGAGGGAGATAGGGCAGTGGGTCGAGAATAGGAAAGTGGAGGGAGATAGGGCAGTTGGTCGAGGATTTGAGTTGGGATGACTGTATAACTTCACTGGCTCTAAAGTCTAAACCAGAGGTCGGCAAACTTTTGTCGTTTGCGGGCCAAAAATAAAGGTTGCAAGTCATTGGTGGGTAGCACGTATTTTAGAAAGTTAACAACCAAAGGAATGGCCAATGAATCACATTTTTTCACCCAGAAATTTCACGAGTGATTGTGAATTATATACTTGTTAGGTTATAGTATAATTTCGTTTCTCAAAACAAATTTTGTCACGTGAAAAATATATTCGTCTATAAAGCTGTTTTGTTAATACAATTCAGTGAAGCGTCGCGGGCCGAATCCAGATAAGTGTTGCTCGGAATTTTCTCTATTCTAAACCCCCTCCCTTTTAGAAAACCATGGCTGCTGCGCCCTTAGTTATAGATAAAGTTATATTTGAATCACTACCACATTTCGACACCACCATCGTCAAATTTTATTAGTGACGTTAATGCTTCTTCACAGATACAAAATTAACCAAGTCAGTTTTTTAAGTGAACAAATAGCTCGCGGAGCCCTGAGGCTCCGTACGGAGCACTTATAGCAGTGGGGATCAACGCCCGACAAAAGACTCATCTTCTCACCGTCATCGGATAGAAATACACCACTCAAACCATACATATAAGCGGAATAACAGCGAATAATGTATAAAGATTGGTTTCACGTGTATCTTACAGCAAAGCATTCAAAATTCAATAAAAAACCAATACATTTTTTCCCGCCTATTAGCGTTTTCTTACATAAAATACAATTACAGATCAAGGCTAGAGGTAGAAAAATATCTTCGAGTTGCCGTCTCCCAAATTATACCTCGTTTCAATATGTTGTGTATTATACACAAAGCTTATAATTTGCATTAGTCATAATAAACGCTATTATTCACAATTTTATGTGATAAGTCTCATATAATTTCGTGCAAGAAAAATGCTAGTGTCGACAATAATCTTAAAATCGATAACTAATTACATGTTTACCAAATGCTAGGGTTGCGAGAAGATAGAAAATTTTTTTTTTTGGGTCGCGCTAAAAAGTTGTTGCGGACCCCTGTATTAGAATACTCCATAATATACACATATTTGAAATGGAGAATTCTAGAGGGCGAGCAAAACCTTTAAAAAAGTTTAAAACATGGGAAATATTATGTACCAGCCCACCATCACACACACACAAAAAATAAATTACTTAAAACACAAACCCACTTAAAACAACACTTGTGCCAGAAATATTCAAACAAAAGATACTCGATGTATTGAACTTCCGGGCTGTTATACTTCGGAAACACCTAAGCTATTGCAGTAATAATGACCAATTCAATGCGTACCGTATATGCCAGCAATGGTTCCATTACTTTTGAACCCACGTACATTTGAACTCATGACAATTGCACCTGTATGCTATTGCACCTATGGAATTTTTTTTGTTTCACGGATAGTTAAACCCATACTAACCCGAACCCAAGGGTTTTAGCACCCGCATATAGATTGAACCCGTGGATATACGCATGGGTTCAAATGTACATGGGTTCAAATGTACGGTCACCGCCAGCAATACGCTGTTAATTAAATGTTTATTTTGCAGCATCGTATTTACTCTTTATCTGTGAAATTTTGTTGATTTCACTGTTTTTTTTTATATTAATCCAACTTGAATATATAATTAATTGAACGACAATCACTGTTTTGAGTCGAGGTGAGTCAACCTCGAGGTTAGACGAGTACGAATAACTGGTTAGCTATACTCACACCCGGCATGAATTGTTAACCAAACGAGAGGCCGTGGTTTGTCATATCGTTACGCCGTCTTTCCTCGCTAATTAAAATTCGAAAAACAAAAAAGTATAAGAATAAATGCATTACAGTCATTCGAACGACACTTTACCCGAAATAGCCTCAGTAGCTTCTGGTGCTTTAGTGATCGCCAAGAAATTCGCTCAGAAATCAACCTCCTTTACTTCTGAGTCATTATCGTTAAGGCGGCTCATCGGCTTTCCTTTTCCCCATGATAATTTAAAAATTCCTCATTTGCTTATAACGAAGCCAACGAACGAAATTAAAACAATAAACGCATTACGGTCACAAAATTCAACAAAGCACAGGTAATTTCATTAAAATTAGGCTCGTCATCGCCAATGGCTCAGTTAGAGAGATCTGTACTAGGTCATTACGGCAACAGTCATCGACCATGTCTGATTGAGACTAATCCAAATTATCCTTTCCCAAAGCCCGTGGGGATGATTTCCGTTTAAAAGGTATATGAACACGGAAGTCCCACGCAATGCACATAATTGCTAAGCTTGCGAATAGAACAGAGTATAGATAGTTGCGCACCAGGTTATTTTGGATTTGGAAGAGGATTGTCAGAAATTGATTATGGTAGAGACGCCGCTAGCTTCGTAAACGCGGGGCAGGATATAATGGGTCTTCGCAATGATGATAAAATGTCGTGCCCCACTGTTTTGTGTTACTGGTAAATATATATATATATTGCAAATGGTTACAGTCACGGTTAATTATCTGGAAATTAGTGAAGTCATCGCGAATGTTCCATAGTGAAGGTATTTGTCCTGTGGAAAACCGCTCAGTTTATGATACCCCGCTCTCTCAGCTTTTTGTTTTGCCAAGTTCGCTAAAAGATATTTCAATAGGACAATCACACAGAAGAGTTCACCAAGCCTGTTGTGCTTGCGGACGACGCATTTTTCATAGAAGGCGAAACCATAATGTGACGTCATTATTGTATACGGAAATCATTGTTCTGTTACATTGCAATCAAAATAGCAAGCGCTTGTAATACTTTTAACGACCTTCTGAAATATAGCGAGCGATTGTCGTTCTAAGAATATTTAGAAAGAGTCAGGAAAATCAAGTCTTATCCGGCTAGCATTTTTCTAATATAATATTGATTTTTTTGGACATGACGTGAATTTAGATTGTTTTGCTAAACACTTGTTGTTGCTGTTGGGGGGTGATTGTTGTTGTTGTTAATCGCTATTCTCCGTAACTAAATGAGAAATCTATTTCAATTTCGAGTACTTGAATACTTCCCAGGTTGCCCTCAGACCTTTTCAGCAATCTTGGTGCTCTCAGTAATGCCTAACCGTTTCATGTCAAAATACAGGGTCTTCAAAAAGTTTCGCACGATTTTATGGTAATAACAAATGTAAATTTAAATAAATTTTATTGTATGATAATAGATAAGTACAACATCCAACATTTATAACATCAAATTCAATACAGTTTGACTATAAATCTTTTTAAAATTAAAAAATAAATTATCATTCGGTTTTAAAGCCTCAGGAATACGCTCTGATTACCCTGCGTGGGTTCGCAGGTTCGAATCCCATGCGGAGATAATTATGTGCGAGAGGATTGCTGACTCCTTGCTGCCGCAGGGTGGTTCGGGTAACCGCTGGTCAGTCACGACTTCCCCACAATAAAGTCCATGCATCTGAAAACAAATAACTGGCTAAATAATTTTATTCAATTCAAAAGTCTTGCTGCACACGAACACAAATATATTTCTGTAACGTTTCGTCTGACCGAGGTCAGACTTCTTCAGACAAGCACGAGAGGTTGACTCGTCTTATAGGCTTTTCTCTCCCTCGGAATAAATATGTAAATTCTATTCCTTTGATTTGTAGTGAGGTTACCGAAATACATAGAATTCAGTTTCAACACCAGAGATATTGTCTCTGGGAATTTTAAAAAGACGACTAATCCAAAACCAGCAAATAAGCCACCAGCATCCAAAGCTCAAGTAAGACTCCTTCGTGGAGATTGAATAACTCGTTCTCCACAAATAAAAAGTGCACTTTCTTTTTATATCTAGACTTAATATTACCGTACAAATCCGCGGTAGCTCTAATAGCTTATTAGCAGTTATAAGATTGCAAAAATGAAACGAATCATACACCCGATATTGATGTTATTTGGTAAGTTTTGTTGAATTTACAGGGTTGACTTTGTACCACTATGACCATTAAGGAATTGTTCAAAGAAATTCATAAGAATTGATTTCAACTTTCACATCACAATATTTGGTACTTCCTATTTACGTCATTTGACACTTCCGCGAAATCAACCTCTATTTGAACTGATTTGTCTAGTTCTTATTACAATACTCAATAAGTGCTTCTTGGTTTCAGCAATAATTGCAACTCGAGTGAGAGGAGGCTTGGGTGATGTTACGTTACGTAATTCATCGGGTGAAATTACATATGATAACGTAAGCGTTTCCTCTACGACTTGGAAATTTCCTGCTGAATATAAGGATAATCACACACTCTTTATATCTGTCAAAAATGTGTCGATGCGTGGATGGAGACCAGATTCAACCCGTAAAAGCTGCATAGGATGGGTGTATTTGCCAGGTAAAGCTATATTTTTATTCAACCTTACTATAGCCTAAATATATATTAGTAATTATCACGGTTGCCCTCCCTGCTCCAAGTCCACTTTATCGCAAGCGCGAATTCGCACCACGAGTCCAAGTCAAGTTTAGTATTTTCAACCAGAAAAAATGTGTTGTGCATGAATTAGGAGAAAAAATGCAAGTGCACTGGAAAAGCTGGTCGTCGAGAAGCGGCGCCCAAAGTTCTGGTATCCGAACTGAAAAAGAAGGAAATATTAAAGTGTCTTATTACTTGTCGATTTTGATCGGTAAGTATGTTGATAGGTATTTGTCTGTCTGTTAGACACACGCAATATCTCACGAAAGCGAGATGAATCGGCTCCAAATTTTACATGTGCATTCATCATATCTCGGTGTGGTGTCGCTATTGAGTCAGAGCGAAAAATACACGCCACTAGATCGATAAGTCGGTGGTCTCTGATTGCTATCTCGTTATTTCCCTAATTGTTAACAGCTGAATATTTTGATTTCACTAGAATCCTTGTTTTTCAGAAATGGGTAGGACATGCAGGCCATGGGTTAAATGTCTATATTATCAGCCGTTGGGATGCAGCCTAAAAAATACAGTAACTTTCACAACACCGGATATAGACGGCGTAGTCTGCGACAACTTCGCATGGTTTCGTCTGCCAAAAATGCCAGCGGAATTGAGGATAGATGGCGATTATTCTGGTGACAAATTCGCTCAATTGCAGTACAATTATCTCAAATGCCCGACGATGGAGACCGAATACTCAACAACGGTAACTGGTAAGCAACTGGGAGCAATATATTATATAAGTGAATACACCCTAATCATTTTAACTCGTAAACCAGTGGTTCCCGACCTTTTGCCTATTTCGTGAGGTGTCGCTGCTCGATAATCAAATTGTTTTTTTTTTCCGAGTTACTCTTCATCGTAAAATTCCATTTTTATGTTACCGAGCTTTTGTTTCAATCAAGTGTATTTTCATTCAATAAACTACTGACTGACTGAACTCTTCATTCTTCCCTCCCAATGCATTAAATTACCTTGTTAATTTCTTTAATGGTTATTTTGCTAATGTTGCCGCAAGTCGTATTTCAGTTTTCACACAGTTTAAGCAGTTTATAATGTGTGCGTAAATACCGTGTTTCCCTGAAAATAAGACTGGGTCTTATTTCAATTTTCCACTGAAAAATTACACTATGGCTTATTTCCGGGGGATGTCTTATATTTTCATATATCAAAAAAAAATTCAAAGTAGAGAATTACGAGATTTTCAAATATACAAAATATATTCATTTACTTATATATAACACGCGTTTTTTTTTCATAATAACTGCAAGACATGAATTATAATTCGCTGTGCGTAAGTGGTTCTTTGCAACTCCTATGAAGTCACTAATAGAGCCCAAGAGCTCGGATCTTTCAATCTAAACTCATATGAAATACTCTAAATAACAGCTTCATCTACCGATCAAACTTCTTCTGTGACGTCAAACGACGTAACAAGCGAAAATTTACCACAGATGCTTCATGGCGGACCCGAAATGATTGTGGCCCTTGCAATCGCTATCGGATTGCTTGTCATATCGTGGGTGGTGCTCGGAGTCGTTATTATACGAAACCGGTCAGTAGAATTATCATGTTTTGATAGTATGTTATAACTATTCCCACACCTGATTTGAAGATTAAATTGAACAAAAAGCTTCACTTTCTCATGTGATAATTCTTAAAATTCAAGATGGATATTGCAGATACTGGTGTAGCCTAATCTATTGAAAAATGATATATTTAACATTAGGTCAAAGGCCACCGCACGCAACCCGGATGTCAAAGTAACTGAGGCGGAAGAATCAAACACTCGGGAAATCGTGGTCAATGCAATATATGGAGAAAATTTCGAAAGAATGGGAGACGATTCGCAGCAGACTAGCTCGAGTGCTGTGTATAGCATGGTCCATAATAACTAGCTAACAACTTCCATACCAGACATTGACTGGTAACCGGACGAGATAACGTGGCTCAACCTACGATTGAACCATTTTATCGGCTTTCCTCTCCTAGAGATGATTATTAAATGCCTACCCATCGTATTCTAATCAAAAACTATCCAAACCGTTGCTGCTTTGTGTTTATTGTATTACGATGCGCATATGCTTAATTTGCAAAAACCACATTCGCCGACAACAACAGTAGCGGGAAACTCTAATTTTCGATCTTTCAAATTAGATATTTAAACCTTGCTGTCGTTGATAAGTAACCAACTTTGGCTGCATGCGAATTTCTTTCCCCGGTGCAATTATCGCTCTGAACTAGGCCAGGTATAGACAAACACCGGGGATAGTTCACTAAACGCCGTTAAGTACTTCTAGTAGGCGTTGCATAACCATTTTCGCATATGTCATTTCTAACTCCACCTGACTACGTCATTCAAAAATTACGTCAAATTACATTACACACTACAACGTCACAGTGACAAAATAATAAAGTATGCAAAAATGTCATCCTGTGCCACGCCAATTAGAAGTACTTTCGGCGTTTAGTCAACATGCCCCATATTCCTCCCTCTAAGCTGCGCGACCGCGCAGCCGTCTGTGTATCCCCGCGCAGTGCTTTCGTCCTGCCGCGTACTGCATAAGTATCGACAATTCTGTGTTCGTTTAAAATGTTGTGTTACTTTTTAATTTTCTGCGCAGACCTTTTTTTTTGAGCTCACATGGCCTTCTATTCCGCGCAACTAAGCAAGCTCTTAGGGGGAACGTTGGACCCCCCATACATCCACTAATATATATCGATATCTTAAGCCGTCGGCCTTCCTCTGAATAAATATGAAATTCCTGTCTACTCTATGTTTATTGGAGTATTACAATGCACATAACCATACTGCCCTGTTTTTTATTTATATTTCTGTGTGATGAACTGGTAAGCGCTTTTATATGTAGATATATCATAATTTGACATAAGTGTAAACCAGTGATCCTCAAACTAGGGTTTGAGAGCCGCATGCGGCTCTCAACAACTTTCCCTGCGGCTCCCGTTAATGTTTTAAAAATTAATTATTTTCAAAGAAAATTTTTCATTGAAAACTAATCATTGACTCGAAATTAAAATGCTGAAGTCTATTAGTTAGTCGAATGGATTCCCCCGTGTTTATTTGCGTAGCGTTGACTAACCTACAAGATACAATAGTGACGCAACAGTGAGCGTTTTCGCGGACACTCGGACACTTTTCACTGGAAAGATTTCAGACATGGCTGTAATCATTGGCTTGCTTTCGTGGATTTTCAGTTTGTGTCGCATTTTCAGATCTTATGTATAAATCAAATAACTCAATGATTATTTCAATTTCTATAGCATTTTAATTTTGTTCCAGCAATCGAAAATAGTCCCGAAAAATCTGGCGATCATCTCAATCAGCTACTGCACCTTGCATCCTCCACGATTACGACCCGTTTTGACAAACTTATTAGAAATCAAAGCCTAATTAAATCAAATCAAAAAATCGAAAATTTTTTCGAATTGAATAATTTGAATATTTTTTTTATACGTAACAGGGATCCAGAACGTCGGAGGCCGATAGTCCATTTGGAAATTAATAGAAACATTGAAAAGTCGGCAATAAAGCGTTTTTTAATGGTTAATTTTATCATAAAGACTGATTGTCATTGTCACCGCGATCGTTTTGGCGGCGATATCCTAAAGTTGGTATTCTATATTTCCGCCCTTTCTCGTTTTTGCAAGAATAAGCGATCGCCAAATATCTAAATTTCATATTTCTAGTATAAGCTTGCATAGAAGTATGAGTGAATCATCGAATTAAGAGTTCATCAAGCCGGATATACTTGCAGACGATTCATTTTTCATAGAAGACGAAACCATAATGTGACGTCACTATGATACAAGGAAATTACTGTTCTGTCATAATGCTATCAAAATAGCAAGTGCTTGTAACACAAGGTAGTCTTCTTGAACGATAATGTAGTGCAGCAGAGTATTATTAGTCAGTTGTTAGTTTGGGTGATTAATTTTGTAAGAGAAATTGGTTATGTCCGCCGCGAATGCATTAATCTATTTTCAGTTCTGAAAAGTGTAAAAAGTCGCTTTAGGGCGGAACGATATTTTGTTTTAAATGTTCTGATTCTATTTGCAATACTACAATTATTGATTATCCCGTATTGCTCTAGTCCAGGGGTTCTCAAACTTTTGGTGTTGCGGAGCCGTTGAAAAGGTTGACTACTATTCACGGAGCCCAAAAATAAATGTTAAAATCGTTACTTTCAGATTAATATTCATGAGAAAGTTAAAAGTACGTTACTTAATTTAAATGCTGAACCTTTTTAATAGGGTTAATACAAGTCATGAATCTGAAACTACCGACGGAGCCGAATGCAATAAAATAAATTTCAATTGTTCGTATTTTGCCCAGACATTGTGATTTTTTAAACGGCGCTATCTTAAAAACGAATCTTGAGTGCAAAAGAACAAATCAAGTTTGACGAATCCCAAGATCGCAAAATACGTTTCCAATTTATTTATAGTTGGCAATTTATCACATATTTTATGTTATTTTAGTATTCCTTCATTTTAGTAATCCTAATAGTAATCTTGAATCAAACGTGAGTAACGATGAGCACAATTACATTATAACGACGAGACAAGTTAAATGCTCGCATCGGTCATGGATTGAATATTTTGCGCAACAAAAATCTCGTTACCCTTTTTTTCAATCGTGAAGAATGTTGCGCGGAAATTTCCGATTCCACTTTTGAATCACATCTCTTAAGAATCCTGGCTGCGCTCCTACCTCTAAACAATGTCATTTTTTAATTCCGTCTCTTTGCCATATTCCGAGGCTATTTTGTTGCCAAATTTCATCAAAGCTGTTATTGCTTCTTTGAACAGTTACAAAATTAGTCAGTATTTTGAAAAGTAATCGAATAGCTCGCGGAGCCCCTGGGTTTCTCTCGCGGAGCCCTGGGGCTCCGTACGGAGCACTTTGAGAACCTATGCTCTAGTCTACTGCATCCGTATTGCTTGTCAGTAGACCAGTGGTTTTCAACCGGGGGTTCACACCTGAAAATTAAGGGGGTTCACCACTTTTAGGGAGGTGTTTACCCCATTTAGGGGAGTGTAAGGAAATTAATGAGGCAAAGTATGATGGGCTTTCGCAATGATGGTCCTAATAACGGTGTCATGCTCTGCTGTTTTAAGTTAGGGCAGATATATATCGTGAGACAAATGGTTACATGCAAAATTAATTAACTTTAAATTAGTGAAGGCATCGCAAATGTTTTATAGTGAAGGTATTCGCTCGTGGAAAATCTCTTTGTAGTCCCGTAGAAGGCATCGGAGATCCAGGGCAATTGCATAGAAGCATGAATGAATCATCGAGTTAAGAGTTTTTCAAGCCGGATATACTTCTACCACGAAGATGATTAATTTTTCATAGAAGACTATACAATAATATGACGTCACTATGATACAAGAAACTCATTGTTCCGTCAAACTGTAATCAAAATAGCAAGCGCTTGTAACATGGGTTAGTAGAAATGAAAGATAAGACAGACGACATAGAGGTAGCAATGGGAGGTTGAGTCAGGAAAATAAGGTCTAATTTCTTGTTGTTGCTGTTCGGGGGGGGGGGGGGGGTGATTGTTGTTGTTATTAATCGATATTCTCCGTAACCAACGGAGAAACCTAATTCAATTTCGAGTACATGAATACCCTCAGACTATTTCAGTAAGCTTGGTGCTCTCAGTAATGCGTTTCATGTCAATAAATTAGAGTATTACTCGCGTGTTTTGCTTACAATCTGTAGTTACTGAAGTACATAGAATTTCAGTTCAAACTCGGATTTGACTCGGATAATATTCAACTATGACTCCGACCACTAGTCCCAAACCAGCAATTAAGCCACCAAAAAGATTCTTTCGTAGAGAATTCTCTAAATACCCTTCCTTCATCTACAAATAGTGCACGGCATTGTTAATATTAACATATTTTTTTTTTATTTTAGGACTTGGTAATACAATACAAATCCGCGTCAACGCTAATAGGCCATTACCAGATAGCAGAAATGAAACAAATCATTAACCTGATGTTAATTGGTAAGTTTGTTGAATTTTTGAAGTCGGCTTTGTTCTACTATGACTATTACCAAATTTCACGAAGAAGTTCATAAGAATTGACTTCACCTCCCACATAAAATTCTTTTGTACTTCCTGCTTACGTCACCCACACTTCCGTAAAACCAACGGTAGACGTAAGGCTATAATTAGTAATTATCCAGAATAGTTAATTGATTGATTGATTGATTGTTAAGGTGACGAGTGCAGATTGCGCTGTAAATTTATATTGCCAAATTATATCGCCTAACCCGAACTCTAACTGAATAAGCATAATTTTAGGCGCTCCAGAAGTGTTCGTGCCAAGATGACGCACAACCTGAACAATCAAACCTTGTACACATACTATGTTCAGGTGGTGCGCCATCTTTGTACGAATACTTCGGGAGCACCTAATTTTTGGATCTCCGCTTTAGGAGACCCTTATTATCAGTCATTCTGTGTATCTGTCTGTTGAATTTTCCCTCTAGGAGACCCTTATTACTTATCGATTTTAATCAGTAGGTATGTTGATGGGTATTTGTCTGTCTGTCTGTTTGTTTGTCTGTTTGTCTGCACGCGATATCTCACGAAAGCGAGATTGAATCTGCTCCAGATTTGTGCATTTATCATATGTCGTACCAGAAGCTTATTGATTTTGGATGAATTATGTAGTATAATTAGCGAGTTTATAATTAATTAGTGATAGGACACAAGGTGTCACTATGGAGTAAGAGCGCTGTTTTGGGGATCCCCTAACTTTCGATCGATAAGTCTATGGAAAGTCTGGATGGAGGTTTCGTTTCATGGGAACAACAAAAAAACGCGCCGATCGTTTTGAAATTTCAATTTTTTTTACAATTTATCGCCGTTTTCACGCCAACCAAGTCGAAAATTAAAATTCCAAGAACGCTACCTTCCGCATAGCAAAATACTCTTTTCAATAAGTTATCTTTGGTCTCGATACTCCATAAACTGGAGAAGCCTTAGGGATTTTAGTGAAGATTATTCTTCAATTTCCAGCCACAATATACCAGTCACGCGAGTGAGACTACGAAACGCGCAGCGTTCAAAATGAACTGGCGTTTTTAGTACGTCTCCTATTATCCGTTAGTAAACTGAAATGATGCGGGCCTCAAGCAATGGCGGAGATCCAACTAGGCGCCTATCGGCTTGTCTGTGTATTTGTCTGTCTGTCTGTTTAGACGTATGGGACGCAACTAGCCTTTTTGGTAACCTGCTCACTACTCTCTTAATTGAATTGCTTGAGTGCGAGCATCAATCAACTAACAGCGGATATCCTGGGCGCCTACCGGCTTGTTCATTTTAAAACGTGGTGGGGGTGTTTTTCTACAAAATATCCCCAAATTCTTATGAGCAACAATTTTCAAATGGTGAAAAATGGGAATAATTTTATTTTTCTGGAACTAAAGGTAGGAAAACATCCATTGGTTATAAACCCTATCTATTCCAACGTATTGTTGTATGCGTACATGCGGAATTCAT